TGGGGACATTTGGGGGGGATTTGGGGACACTGGGGGGGATTTTTGGGAATTTGGGGACCCCGGGACCGTTTCCCGCCCCGCCAGGGGGCGCCAACACCACGTGACACCCCCTCGCCCCGCCCCTTTACTCTCAGCCAATCGGCGAGCGAGGAGGCGTGGCCTCTTCTCATAGCCGTCCCTCAGAGGGGGCGTGGCCCCCACAGTGACGTCCCCGGTGGGGGCGTGGCTTAGAGTGGGCGTGGCCACCGCACCCGGAAGCGGCTCCGGGCGGGTCCCGGTGAGTTGAAAGGGGGGGGGGGGGTTTGGAAATTCGGGAATATTTGGGAATATCCAGGAATATTCGGGAATATTCGGGATCCGGGAGGAGGAGGATGAAGGGAGAAGGGGCCCGGCGGGAGCTGCCGGAGATTCCCGGGAATTTCCGAGGCCTGGGCGGGACCTCCCCCCTCCCCCCCCCCTCAAGGACCTCCCTGTCCCTCCTTTTTTCCCATTCCCGGAGGGAAAATTCCCACCGGGAATCCCCAAAATTCGGGATGGAACCCCCAGCAGCGGCAGTTTGAAGGATCGAGACCCCTCCCCGCGCAAGGAACGGGAATTTTTAAGGATCGGGAAAAACCCCCGAGGTTTTTGGGGAGGGGGAGGGGTGGAAATTCCCAATTTTCCTCTGGAATCTTTTCCCAAAATTCCCAAACTCGGCTCGCGGAGCCGGGAATGCCCTCGAGACAAGGACAGGGAATAATTCCTTTGGAAGCAGCTCCTGGAAAAGTCTGGAATGTCATTCCCAGCATGGAATTTTCCCTAAAAAAAAAAACCCAAAAAATTCCATTTTTTTTTTTTTAAATTTTTTTTTTTATTTTTTTCCCCAATCCCAAAATTTCTCCTTCCCGGTTTTTTTTTTTTGGGTTTTTTTTTTCCCATGCCCTGGAAAATTCCTTCCCTCCCTCCTCGGCTTCTTTTTTTCGGGACAAATATTTGGGACAAGGCCCTGGAGCTCGGGTTTGGATTCCGAGCCGGAATTCCAGAGGGGGGGGAGGGGCTGGAATTCGCATTCCCGGGAAATTTTTAATGATTTATTTTTTTTTTGGGAATGATCCCGGAGTTTTTTTCCCGCCTTTCAGGATCTCTGGGAAAAGAAGGAATCCCGGGATGAGGCGGTTCCCTCCCGGATAAAGACGGATTCTCCCCATGGAAGCTCCGGAGATTCCCGAGTTTTTCCCGCTGGGATTGGAATTCCTGGATTGATTCCAGCTCGGAATTCCCATTGAATTCCCGAAATTCCCATGTAATTCCCAGAATTCCCATTGAATTCCCGAAATTCCCATTGAATTCCCAGAATTCCCATCAAGTTCCCGAAATTCCCATTGAATTCCCAGAATTCCCATCGAATTCCCAGAATTCCCATTGAATTCCCGAAATTCCCATCGAATTCCCAAAATTCCCATTGAATTCCCCAAATTCCCATCAAATTCCCAGAATTCCCATCGAATTCCCGAAATTCCCATCAAATCCCCAAAATTCCCATTGAATTCCCAAAATTCCCATGTAATTCCCAAAATTCCCATTTAATTCCCAAAATTCCCATGTAATTCCCAGAATTCCCATCGAATTCCCAAAATTCCCATCGAATTCCCAGAATTCCCATTGAATTCCCAGAATTCCCATCAAATTCCCAGAATTCCCATCGAATTCCTCAAATTCCCATGTAATTCCCAGAATTCCCATGTAATTCCCAGAATTCCCATCGAATTCCCAGAATTCCCATGTAATTCCCAGAATTCCCATTGAATTCCCAAAATTCCCATGTAATTCCCAGAATTCCCATTGAATTCCCAGAATTCCCATGTAATTCCCATCGAATTCCCATTAAATTCCCAGAATTCCCATCAAATTCCCAGAATTCCCCTCGAATTCCTCAAATTCCCATGTAATTCCCAGAATTCCCATGTAATTCCCAAAATTCCCATGTAATTCCCAGAATTCCCATCGAATTCCCATTTAATTCCCAGAATTCCCATCGAATTCCCATTAAATTCGCATGGAATTCCTGCCCCTGGAGCAGAGAATTCCCATAGAATTCCCATAGAATTCCCATTGAATTCCCATCGAATTCCCATTGAATTCCCAGAATTCCCATTGAATTCCCAGAATTCCCATTGAATTCCCAGAATTCCCAGAATTCCCATCAAATTCCCATTAAATTCTCATTTAATTCCCATTAAATTCCCATGGAATTCCTGCCCCTGGAGCAGAGAATTCCTGAAATTCCCATTAAATTCCCAGAATTCCCATTAAATTATCATTAAA